GAACGAATCAATAAAAATAATGAATGAATGAATGAATGAATGAATGAATGAATAAATGAATGAACGAACGAATGAATAAATGGATGAATGAATGGATGAATGAATAAATAAATGAATGAACGAACGAATGAATAAATGGATGAATGAATAAATAAATGAACGAATGAATAAATGAATGCATGAATGAATGAATGAACCAACCACACACACAGCTAACTAACCTGTCCGATATGCTCCACGGAATACGAAACCTTTCCAGTCTTCAACTCCATCGGCACAATTAATTCTTTCACTTTTTTTTTCTTTCTATCGTGAATCTGTCATTCATTCATTCGTTCGTTCATTCAATCATTCACATTCATTCAATCATTCACATTCATTCAATCATTTATTCATTCACTCATTCATTTATTTATTTATGAAATGAAAGGGAGAAACAACGGACTTTTACGCAAGCAGTTACATCTATCTTGCCTTTCAACCCGAGCCTGTAAAATTATCATAATAAATAATTAATGGCCAAACAACAACAATAATAATAATTATAATAATAACAATAATAATAATTATTATTATTATTATGATCATCACGACTAACATAGGACTCCATACAGTCTCTTCAACGTCCAATACACGAGTAACTAAATACCCCATATCGTTATCGTAACTTGCATTACTTTTATTATTATTATTGTTATTATTATTTTTAATATTATTGTTATTATTATTGTTACTGTTAGTAATGTCCGAAAAATACTGATCATCACCAGCATTAACATTATTTTTAGTAATGTGCAACTGCCTGTCAACGAAATTCTGGATGGAGGGTAAGTATGAGTTTAGTACCTCCCTAACTTCTCCTAACTGGACCCCCAAGGCGAACATCTCTATCATGTGATCTCGCCTGCTTATAATTTCTTCAGCTATGGTCCGTATGTCTGGCGTTGTTGTTGTGTTGTTGTTGTGGTAGTTGCTCTGGTATTGGTTGAGGACCTGTTATGTAATTGGCCGAGTGAATTGATGTATCAACCAATCAACCAACCAACCGATCAATCAATCAATCAACCAATCAATCGATCAATCGATCAACCAACCAACCAATCGATCAATCAATCAATCAACCAATCATCAATCAGTAGGTTGGTCAGCCAGCCAATCAGACAATCGATCAATCATCGAATCAACCAGCCTCTTGAAATATAGCATGCACTATAGTCCCGTGGAGCATGCTTGGCAACTTTCCTGTGTTCGTGTGCTGTGGTTTATAATTAATAATATTATAATCATAATAATAATAAAATTAATAATTTTTAATATAATTATTATTATATTACACAAAATAGTTTTGTTAAAATTATTTGAGTGTAAATGGTAACGAACATTACCTTGAACTTGTCACTGAGCACCATTCTGAATGAATAGAGGGGGAAAATGAATGAATGATTGAACAAATGATGGAATAAAAAGAAGAGCTATCAAATAAATCAATAAACCAAAGATTCGACAAACATAAACCAACTGAATACTAATTCATTCATTCAGTCACAATCTACCAACCAACCAACCAAACACACTAACTTCCTCAGGCACGTGACAGCTGACGTCACACTGGTCCCAGAAACCAGGATATCCGGACTGACGACTATAAAGTTTTCCTGATCCGTGATTCTACATTCGGAGTTTTCATCGAAACGACCAATCACGTTCACGCAATTTCCCGCCTTTACTCTCGTATCCGTCCTAAAAATAATTACATTATTTTGACCATAATTATAACGAATATTATCCTAATTATAATAATTATCGTTATAATTACATTAAATTATTATCAACGAACCAAAATCCATATAGCAATGCTTTCCTCAGTGAGCCAGTCTTGAAGCATTTCAAATCCAACGCCAAACATCTGAAATAATTATTATCATTATAATTAATAATAAGAATAATAACATAAATAATAATAATAATTATTATTATTATCGTAATTAAAATGTCAGCATTTACTAACTCTTTACTACTTTCAACAGAGATGACACGATGTCTTCCGTACTTGTAGCATACAGGATCATCATCAGGATTGACAACATCATCATCATCATCATCATTGGCATCGTTATCACAACCGACGACGATATCACGGCCACTATAATCGACACCATCATCCTTTGACATACTATCATCATCATCACTGCCATCATTTTTATCGTCATCATCGCCATCCTTGGCTGTCTTGAACGGTGATAAAGATGTGAATTTATTTATCAAACTCGTCTGCCTGTCAAAACTCAACGTACTATTATTACTACTGCAAGTATTATTACCATCATAATTCTCATCACTTTTAGTAGTAACAGTAGTAGCAGCAGTATTAGTAGCAGCAGCAGTAGTAGTAACAGTAGTAGTAGTGGTAGTAACGACTGTTGCCCTTTTACGATCAGAATCATTCTTTAATTCATTTAATAAAAGGTTCAGACAATCATCATCGTCACTATCATTATAATTATTATTGATGTTGCTAGTAGTAGCAGCAGTAGTAGAAGAAGAAGAAGCAGTAGTAGTAGTAGTAGTAGTAGTAGTAGTAGTAGTAGTAGTAGTAGTAGTAGTAGTAATATTGATAAATTTAATCTTAGTCATGTGATCTTCGTTGATATTATCATTGCCATCATTACCGAAACCATTTTTAATGTAATTACAGTTGATATTGATTTCATTAACGTCATCATTGTCGTCTTTGTTAAAATTTTTCATTTCACACAAAATGCCATCGAGACAACTATCATCATCGTCATAATTATGTTTCATATTAATATTATAGTTATTATTATTATTTATCTTCTGTTTAGCCTTATAACCACTTAGGTAGCTATAAAAATCAGACTTTGTGTTGAGAGAACTTTTCAATTTACTACTACTACTACTACTACTACTATTATTATTATTATTATTTCTTGAGTCACCACTATTATTGTTTATGTTGTTGTTGTTATTATTATTATTATTGTTGTTATTATTACTACTAAAACATTTGTCTGGGGTCGTTTTTAAATCAGGTTTTTTGACCTTTGGGAAACCGCCACCATCATCATCGTCGTCGTCATCGTCACCAACCATATCATCATCATACCTATTATTAATATTATTATCATAATTATTATCATAATTATTATTATTATTACCATCGTGATTTATATTATAGTTATTAAGAATGTCGTCGCCGTAATTGCCGTTCGCCTTTATTAGCAAAGCCAAGTTGGCTGTTTCTAGTTTGAAGTCTTTGCTCTTTTGGTTTCTCTGCTTAATTTCTTTAAGACGGTTTTCCATAGATTTCGGTTTGTTGAACTTTGAATATAGTTTCTTTCTTCTAGTCTCACCTTCAGCTTCGTCTAATGGCTTTCCCAAGTGCTGTAAGAGTCTTAAACCAAAACGTAATTAATTGTTATAAACGAGACCGTTGAATATTTATATTATATTGTTATAATTTTATCAACAAACCCAAATCTAGATGACACTATTAACATTAAATCAGCCAATAAAAGTTTAGAAAATATTATTATTTGAATTTAATAAGCCAATAGAGCTTTAGATAGCAAAGCTAAAATTACATCACAATTAGAATTCAATCATCCAATAGGAACCTAGATGAAGATAGAAAACTCCTTCCATTTGACATTTTTCTCCTTCTACTTTCATTCAGTAATATATCTGGAGTGCCAGGAATGATATCTTCATCATTGAATACATTCGCACTTCCATTTGACGATGAGTTTGAGCAGTCGGCCATTTTTTGATTGGTTGAAGAGTTGTCGTCATATATTTGTTGATTGATTGAATAGTGTAAATCTATTTTCTGATTGGCTGAAGAGTTGTCTGATTGATTAGTGACTGGTTGGCTAAAAGATTCAGTTACATTTTGATTGGTTCCTTGACTCATCCACTTTGAAATTCCATTGGCCGGAGTAAATGATCTTAAAGAGGATAGAAGAAGTGATGATGATGATTGTTTTAATGATGCTAGTGAGGATGATGACGCTGATGACTTTATAGCTGAGACATTGTCAAGATTAATGTCAGCATTAGATGCCCTCGTGGTGTTCTTGCCAACTGGCTGAAAATTTGAAAAAATTCAACGAATTAGTCATGTGATTGTTTGATTACCATCATAGAATACGAAGGCAATAACATATTTTACTTTATTTAAGATTGAATATTATTATTTTAAAATATATTTAGAGATAAAAATGAGTAAAAATAAGTAAGAAATTTAAATCATGCCTGAAAAAAACTCGAAAGTTTACCCTGTTTCACATCGATCAAATTCTAAAATTAGTTAAATAAAATTTTCATTTTATTTTCAATGAAATAATTTTTTAATAATATCCAATAATTATTTTTCTACAATGAAATAAAAATGAAAAATTACTAAACTGATAACAAGTGCTAGAGCTAGCCTTGCTAAAGGAGAATAGTATATAAAAAACCCAATTCAATGAAATTAGATTGGCATTAGAAGTAGAGCCATTAGTTAGAGAGATTAGATTAATTAGATTATTAGAAAATGATTGAATTGATTTGTTGATTGATTGAAGATTGAATCATTTTGAAATGGAACCTTGTTTTTAGATTTATTTGATTTCATATTGAAAAGGTGTCCCAACTCCCTGAAAATCTAACAAAGCTAAAATGCGCGGCCTAACTGTAACAAAAATTAAATAAAATGAAGGGTAAATAAACTATTAAAATAGCACATCCGATTCTAAAATATAAAAATAATTTTAAATAATGGCGGGTCAACTTTTAAATTTCGACGAATTCACTTTTAAACAAAGTAAATAATAGAACCAGTGAGTCGCGAGGTCAGAATTGAATGAATATTGATTTACAACGTCTATGATACACATATTACGCGTGCAACATATTCATATTTTTTCATACACATACATATAGTACAAACTTATATAACATACATAAGACGTACAGATATATAAACCCAAAAACAAATA